AACTTTTGCTCACGGTCTCTTTGAGTCTTTATTAATAAAAGAGCAATTTTAATTGGTTTATAACATCTTCTTTTGTTCTAAATAACCAATAAAAACGTTCGTTTCTATTGCACTAGCAGTCTGGGTCACACGTGGCAAAACACAGATTTTTGTATTTTCAGAAATTTGTACTCGCAGTGGTTTAAATAGTAAACACGGAACTTTTCTGTGTCATAAATATGGCGAAGGAGAAGCCGTGGTTAAACAGCCTGCTCTTTCTTACATTTGTAAGTATCTTTTCGGTATCAACTTTTACTCGGAAAGGAAACAATATATATTTTTTTTATTAACTAGTGCATGTAACGCGTTGATTGCTCTTTTCCATGACTCAAATTCCTGTTTTTTTTCTTACAGTTTATCGGACTATCCTTACAAGCCAAGAAGAAATATGATAGGAGTTCCATAATTCAAGTCAACGACATAAAACCGTTCAAAAAATTACAAAGAACCCACACGAATTTACTGGTTTTGTTTGCGCAGAGTGGTAGGTCACCGTTCATATGCAAAACAGTGATTGGATTTTAATAAATTTTCAATGCAACTTGACCCCTTTTCTTTTAGCTTTTGTATAATTGGACTTCTCCTGTTTCGAAGTTTTATGGAGCACTTTTGTTTCCTTTCATTTCCTTGTTTTCGCTGGATAAGGTGATATTGATTTAGCTGGCTTTCAGAAGTCATTTATATTTGCACATTATTATTTGAACCCGGCTGGATGATAAAATGCGTTCAAGTCGATATCTACAAGATTTTTGATATTTGATTTATTATCAGATTATTCAAGAAAGGAGCCTTTATAAAAAAACAAGTTAATCTTCATTAAGATCTTAAATCCTTATTATTATGCATGAACATTTTAATTAGGGTTATTATCCAGTAACCCTGGAAACTTAAGAAAGATAATGGCATATGTACCATATTCATTTTGATTGTTAATTACATCAAATAAATCATATTGCTGGTTTGCACGTGACATTACGGCAGCTATGTTGGTGGTCAAGAACAAAAGCAGTTCTCTCCTCTGGGAACTAAACTCTATTTTCATGTAAATTCTTCGAGAAAAAAATTTAATTGTTTTGACCCCCAACATGGCCATCCTGTCATGTGGTTGCACACCAAGAATATGTAAACTGTACTGAAATAGATGCAAATATGTGGCTGTGATCCCTCTTGTTTTACCTGATCCACCAAAGGGGCTGAGTTTTCAGGTTAGTCAACCTGAAAATAATTTATTATTATTGTCTCATTCAACTTTCAATATTTCCACATTTTCACCAATTTTTAACTAACTACGAGAGAACGACTGGAGAACTGACAATTTGACTAACAATAGACGACCGTTTAACTGTGACAATAGACGGATTGAAACCCACCAATTACTGATTGCGAGTCTTCATAGCCATTAACATCACGGCTTAACTGACAGACGACCAATAACATCGCAACATAATTGACCAATCAGATCAATAACCAGAGTATAATACCATCAACTGACGTGATACAACTCACTTTGACTCTGAAGATGACTACCGCACAGGTTGTCGTAACGTCAGTCACCGTCAACAACAACAGTCCTATTCATGAACTACGTTCACCCGGACGATCAAACTCTACCTACTTTTGGAATTTTTATTTTCTTTCAATTTCTTTGTTTGACAAGCAAGTTTATCTCAATTAAATAAATTTTAAACTAATTACATAGTATGTTTTTCAATAATGATTACTGGACTGACAAACTCGAAAAACCATTAACACCTGGTAAGTATTTCTGGAACGTTGATTGTTTACTGACAAATACTGGCCAATGACATGGAAGTTAAGGACTCACAAAACAGACAACAAAACCACCGCCCAGAGAAGTTATAGGTGATTTACAAAAAAGTGTTCTGTGTCTTTATGCAAGAGTTAACTATAAATTTAAGACAAGTGAACTGAAAAATGTAGAGAAACTGGTGAAGCAAAAAAGTTATAGAAAGTTGCAGGCAATTATTGCCTAATGTATATCTTACAGGTCAAAATCATATTCGGGTTAAAATTCTTTAACCTGGGGATGATTCTTAATTTTCTTTGTCTCCTAGCCCTAATTCATGATTGAATAATATTTTATTAGAGCTAGGAGACTTTTTTAGGAAAAAGAAAAACACCCTCCTAGGTTAAAAATTTTAACCTGAATATAATTTTGACCTGTAACATATATCTTCATCTTCTAAGAGTAACTTACTTGCTAAATTAACCAATCAAAGTGTACATAAGTTATTATTGGGCATGAGATAACAGTAAATCTATAAATGATATTACTTTTGTACAGTGAATGATTCTTATAAGAACTGCCTGGTAGAAATGATTCAATAATTTCAACAATATTTATTTCAGAACGTGATGCTTTAAAAAAGTTTGATGTTCTAGCAGAAGTTGCAGAAGAAATGAAGGGCAAAGGAACAATAGCTCATGTAAATTGTGGGTGAGTTGTACGTATGAGTTGTTGCATTAAGGGTGTAGCCTGGCAAGATAGCCTGACATTTCTCAATATAGCCTGAGTGCACTCTCTCTAGGGCTTTGGCGGTGGGGCAGGAAAAGGAAGGAGAGCTTGGAACTACGTCTCTGGAATTTGAATCGTGCCTCCAATTCCCCTGTTGCTCCCTGTTGACTGAGCTGTCAGATTTCCGCCAATCAGCACAAAGCGGAAACAAACCCGAATGCGCACAGGGAAAAAGACGTGAAAGATCATCACCAATGTCATCTCTGCCAGTCAACATTTCTCATGGAGTTGATGCAGATATTCAAATTCCAGAAACATAGTTGCAAGCTCTCCTTCCTTTTCCCTCCCCGTTGTAAAGCACGCCAGAGAGCTCGCTCGCAGGCTATTCTCAATACTACCACTGGTTTCGCTGCCAAATGACATCTGAGGAACAATAGCACAGTTATTCCATACTGATGATGTATCACTACCCAGAACTCGGGCCCTGTTAGGATAAAATTCTGACAAGTGACAAGGCCTTGAAACATCGACTTAAGACTAGATAAAAAATGGCAACAAATGACATAAAGATGACAGGGACATGGCGTTCGCTTCAAACTGCAAAATAACCGTATTTGAAATTCAGTCTGTAGGGAGATTCTTCAGTCTTAATCCGCTCAGTCCTAAACCATTTCTGACATACAAATCTGTCGGCTAAATCCTATGTTGACTTGTTACCATTCCAATAACACATGTTAAAAGTAGATTAATAGAGAAATTCATCTTTTCTTAGGGAAAGCAAAGATGCCAAAAAGTTGTGCAAGAAGCTTAAAGTTCCACCTCAACCAGTCGTGTTAAAACATTACAAGTAAGTGCAAATCTAGTTATGCCATAATTTCCTTTTCTTCTCAGTCTGTTCATGTAAGTCTCTATAATAGTTTGCAGATTTTGCCAGTTTGTCTCTCTGTCAGTTATGTCAGTACGCTGTACATTTTTTTTCTTTTTCAGAGATGGGAACTTCAATAAAGATTATGATAGGAAATTTGCAGTAAAGGTGATTTTTCTTGGCATCATTGTGATGTATCTGTTACTGATCAAATTTGATTTCAGGTTAAAACTTTTAAACCTAGGTTGATTCTCAATTTTTTTGTTTATAGCCATAGCTTTATAGGCAAAAAAGGAAATTGATAATCAACCTATGTTAAATCAAAATTAACCTGAAATCAAATTTGATCTGCAACATACATGCAACAAACATCAATATCAAATAATAAAGAAAATGGTGGATGTCAAAGTTGTTAATTAATTAGAGATTTGAGTTTTGAATAATTGAATATCAGTAGATGGTGTTCCTGGGTGCTTGATTTTATGTAAATTTGCTAATAAAATAATAATTATTATTTGTTTCAGTCAATGATAAATTTTTTAAATGATCCCCTGGGTGAGATGCCCTGGGAAGAGGAAGATGGAACAGAGGATGTACGGCATGTCAACACTAACATGGTTGGTAAATCAAGGCTGTGCTCTAAGGAAAATTAAAGAGAACCCATGTCATTGCTCTAAACCAGTAGAATTTTATGATTTGTCTGAAAAAACTAACATTTTCTAGTTGGCTGAGAGCGAGAGTTGAGTGTCTGGGGCCACTGGGTTCTGCTAAAGCACAGCCCTGTAAATGTGGCCCATTGATTGATGTCTTAGGCTTAAGGCTAGTTACTTTTTATACCGTAAATCCTCTATTAATCCCCCCGGGGTCTTAATAGAGATGGGGGGCTTAATTAATTTAGGAAAGGTGATGGTATTCGATCAGTTCTCCAAAAATAACTAGAATACAACGCGGAGAAGCTCAAGGACAAGAAGGTTGGAGGTCATGCAGCCAAGGATCAGGATCAAAATTAATCTGAACTTCCAGTTGGTAAATAAACCATCCCGGATCAGTCTGCATGATGTTTAACAGTTGTGATTGATTAATACAGTCTTATTTATTTGTGAAGAATAATAAGGGGAGAGGAGGGGAGGGGGGGCGGGCCTACTAATTCTCTTCCCCTGAAAAGGGGGGTGCTTATTAGATGGGGTTGCGGGGGGGGGGGGTTTAAAGGGGGTTTATAGTATATAAATATATTTTCCTTTTTTTTGGAAAAACCCCCACCGTTTAAAAAGCCACAACACCATAAAAAAAAATTTTGTTTTCTCAACGAGAAAAATTTTTTACAAGGTTAAATCAAAGTTAACCTGAAATCAAATTTGACCTGTAACAGGTATGCTGTTAGTAAAATCCATTCTCAGGTGAGATGAAATCAAACATTGACTGAAGCAGCTGTATGGTGCATCTTAATATGCTAGCATCCAATCTCACCTCTCTGGTTCCTCTGCAATTTGGCCACTGGTTGGAAATGAGGAAAGTTGGCACAATTTATTCATTATCACTTCTTTAAAATAATTTGTTTATTTTTACAGAAAAAAAGAAATTATTTGGTTTTTTTTCTACAGGATAAAAGAAATTGTGAAATTAAAAAAGTAAACTACCTTCTCCACTGCTGAGGGTTGACCCACCATAGATGTCTAACAACAGAAAAGAATAACCATAGCCAAATACCAAAAATGTCATCCCAACCAGAACAACAAACTTTAGTACAACTTCCAGTATTTCAGAGGCCATTTTTGCTGACTTTTCGGCTTGCTGATCAGCATAATTTCCACGAACCAAGGTATGCGCAAAAAATGTGTAATAACTTTCCTCAATGGGCATGAAAACACATCTGGCAACTAACGAGCCCAGGTTGTTAATAACATCGTAGATACCCTGCTGAGAAAACGTTAACACTTTGAACAGAGTCATGATATACCGTTCCCCCTCGGTCAAGATTTTCTTTAGGAAGGATTGTTTAAAAAAGCTCCACGTAAGATGCACCATACCCCAACTTACGACACTCAAACCAGGAATTCTTCTGGGGAAAAAGTCACGGACAGATTTCAGAGGGAAGCCATCCATGGCGGTTTCCTTTTCTTTGGGGACGTTTTGAATGTAGTACAAAAAGTATACATAATACAGAATCATGGATAATATTGAGAAAGCCATTTGTGCCAGGCAAAATGAAACAATTCCGAGATCTGGAAAGAGCACTACAAGAGCTAGAGTAATCACACATCTGGCAAAGTTTGCGATGCCTTCTATGATGACTTTGAGGCGTAAAAACACAAAGGCTTGGGTCAACACCCACAGTTGTTCGGATAAAAGTTCGATTGAGCCGCTTGCAGCGAAAGCGAGAACAGCCAACGGATAGTTTGGAATCTTTTGTGGATCGGGTACTTCTAGGTGAAGCAGCCAAACGTAGCCAAGGACGGAAGATAAAATTACACCGAGAGGGAAAACACACCAAAGAAGATTGATCACTTGAACCCAATTCTTGTCCTGCGTCTTGCTAAGGCAAGCTTTTCGGAAAGCTTCTCTGGCAACGAACACGATAGTTTGGTTGAGAAGCATTAATCGCACGTTCACAATTCCGATCATGTCTTTCGTAGTGAAACGAAGAAGAACACCGTTCATTACGAAGGTAAGGATTCTAAAAGTAACCTGCAGAACAACATTATACGAGGCAGAACGAACTGTACTTCCAACCAAACCTTCCTTCTCGTCCGCCATTTTGTCAAGTTAGTTTCCCAAATCTACCAAACTCGCTCATTGGTCAATCTCTACTAAATTACCCAATCAGTGGTCTTTTTATATTTCGATTACTTTTTGGAAGTCCGCTGAACTTTTGCTCATGGTCTCTTTGATTCTTCATTAATAAAAGAGCAATTTCAATTGGTTTATAATAGCTTCTTTTGTTCTAAATAACCAATAAAAACGTCCGTTTCTATTGCATTAGCCGTCTGGGTCACACGTGGCAAAACACAGATTTTTGTATTTTCAGAAATTTGTACTCGCAGTGGTTTAAATAGTAAACACGGAACTTTTCTGTGTCATAAATATGGCCAAGGAGAAGCCGTGGTTAAACAGCCTGCTCTTTCTTACATTTGTAAGTATCTTTTCGGTATCAGCTTTTACTCGGAAAGGAAACAATATATATTTTTTTTATTAACTAGTGCATGTAACGCGTTGATTGCTCTTTTCCATGACTCAAATTCCTGTTTTTTTTCTTACAGTTTATCGGACTATCCTTACAAGCCAAGAAGAAATATGATAGGAGTTCCATAATTCAAGTCAACGACATAAAACCGTTCAAAAAATTACAAAGAACCCACACGAATTTACTGGTTTTGTTTGCGCAGAGTGGTAGGTCACCGTTCATATGCAAAACAGTGATTGGATTTTAATAAATTTTCAATGCAACTTGACCCCTTTTCTTTTAGCTTTTGTATAATTGGACTTCTCCTGTTTCGAAGTTTTATGGAGCACTTTTGTTTCCTTTCATTTCCTTGTTTTCGCTGGATAAGGTGATATTGATTTAGCTGGCTTTCAGAAGTCATTTATATTTGCACATTATTATTTGAACCCGGCTGGATGATAAAATGCGTTCAAGTCGATATCTACAAGATTTTTGATATTTGATTTATTATCAGATTATTCAAGAAAGGAGCCTTTATAAAAAAACAAGTTAATCTTCATTAAGATCTTAAATCCTTATTATTATGCATGAACATTTTAATTAGGGTTATTATCCAGTAACCCTGGAAACTTAAGAAAGATAATGGCATATGTACCATATTCATTTTGATTGTTAATTACATCAAATAAATCATATTGCTGGTTTGCACGTGACGTTACGGCAGCTATGTTGGTGGTCAAGAACAAAAGCAGTTCTCTCCTCTGGGAACTAAACTCTATTTTCATGTAAATTCTTCGAGAAAAAAATTTAATTGTTTTGACCCCCAACATGGCCATCCTGTCATGTGGTTGCACACCAAGAATATGTAAACTGTACTGAAATAGATGCAAATATGTGGCTGTGATCCCTCTTGTTTTACCTGATCCACCAAAGGGGCTGAGTTTTCAGGTTAGTCAACCTGAAAATAATTTATTATTATTGTCTCATTCAACTTTCAATATTTCCACATTTTCACCAATTTTTAACTAACTACGAGAGAACGACTGGAGAACTGACAATTTGACTAACAATAGACGACCGTTTAATTGTGACAATAGACGGATTGAAACCCACCAATTACTGATTGCGAGTCTTCATAGCCATTAACATCACGGCTTAACTGACAGACGACCAATAACATCGCAACATAATTGACCAATCAGATCAATAACCAGAGTATAATACCATCAACTGACGTGATACAACTCACTTTGACTCTGAAGATGACTACCGCACAGGTTGTCGTAACGTCAGTCACCGTCAACAACAACAGTCCTATTCATGAACTACGTTCACCCGGACGATCAAACTCTACCTACTTTTGGAATTTTTATTTTCTTTCAATTTCTTTGTTTGACAAGCAAGTTTATCTCAATTAAATAAATTTTAAACTAATTACATAGTATGTTTTTCAATAATGATTACTGGACTGACAAACTCGAAAAACCATTAACACCTGGTAAGTATTTCTGGAACGTTGATTGTTTACTGACAAATACTGGCCAATGACATGGAAGTTAAGGACTCACAAAACAGACAACAAAACCACCGCCCAGAGAAGTTATAGGTGATTTACAAAAAAGTGTTCTATGTCTTTATGCAAGAGTTAACTATAAATTTAAGACAAGTGAACTGAAAAATGTAGAGAAACTGGTGAAGCAAAAAAGTTATAGAAAGTTGCAGGCAATTATTGCCTAATGTATATCTTACAGGTCAAAATCATATTCGCGTTAAAATTCTTTAACCTGGGGATGATTCTTAATTTTCTTTGTCTCCTAGCCCTAATTCATGATTGAATAATATTTTATTAGGGCTAGGAGACTTTTTTAGGAAAAAGAAAAACACCCTCCTAGGTTAAAAATTTTAACCTGAATATAATTTTGACCTGTAACATATATCTTCATCTTCTAAGAGTAACTTACTTGCTAAATTAACCAATCAAAGTGTACATAAGTTATTATTGGGCATGAGATAACAGTAAATCTATAAATGATATTACTTTTGTACAGTGAATGATTCTTATAAGAACTGCCTGGTAGAAATGATTCAATAATTTCAACAATATTTATTTCAGAACGTGATGCTTTAAAAAAGTTTGATGTTCTAGCAGAAGTTGCAGAAGAAATGAAGGGCAAAGGAACAATAGCTCATGTAAATTGTGGGTGAGTTGTACGTATTAGTTGTTGCATTAAGGGTGTAGCCTGGCAAGATAGCCTGACATTTCTCAATATAGCCTGAGTGCACTCTCTCTAGGGCTTTGGCGGTGGGGCAGGAAAAGGAAGGAGAGCTTGGAACTACGTCTCTGGAATTTGAATCGTGCCTCCAATTCCCCTGTTGCTCCCTGTTGACTGAGCTGTCAGATTTCCGCCAATCAGCACAAAGCGGAAACAAACCCGAATGCGCACAGGGAAAAAGACGTGAAAGATCATCACCAATGTCATCTCTGCCAGTCAACATTTCTCATGGAGTTGATGCAGATATTCAAATTCCAGAAACATAGTTGCAAGCTCTCCTTCCTTTTCCCTCCCCGTTGTAAAGCACGCCAGAGAGCTCGCTCGCAGGCTATTCTCAATACTACCACTGGTTTCGCTGCCAAATGACATCTGAGGAACAATAGCACAGTTATTCCATACTGATGATGTATCACTACCCAGAACTTGGGCCCTGTTAGGATAAAATTCTGACAAGTGACAAGGCCTTGAAACATCGACTTAAGACTAGATAAAAAATGGCAACAAATGACATAAAGATGACAGGGACATGGCGTTCGCTTCAAACTGCAAAATAACCGTATTTGAAATTCAGTCTGTAGGGAGATTCTTCAGTCTTAATCCGCTCAGTCCTAAACCATTTCTGACATACAAATCTGTCGGCTAAATCCTATGTTGACTTGTTACCATTCCAATAACACATGTTAAAAGTAGATTAATAGAGAAATTCATCTTTTCTTAGGGAAAGCAAAGATGCCAAAAAGTTGTGCAAGAAGCTTAAAGTTCCACCTCAACCAGTCGTGTTAAAACATTACAAGTGAGTGCAAATCTAGTTATGCCATAATTTCCTTTTTTTCTCAGTCTGTTCGTGTAAGTCTCTATAATAGTTTGCAGATTTTGCCAGTTTGTCTCTCTGTCAGTTATGTCAGTACGCTGTACATTTTTTTTCTTTTTCAGAGATGGGAACTTCAATAAAGATTATGATAGGAAATTTGCAGTAAAGGTGATTTTTCTTGGCATCATTGTGATGTATCTGTTACTGATCAAATTTGATTTCAGGTTAAAACTTTTAAACCTAGGTTGATTCTCAATTTTTTTGTTTATAGCCATAGCTTTATAGGCAAAAAAGGAAATTGATAATCAACCTATGTTAAATCAAAATTAACCTGAAATCAAATTTGATCTGCAACATACATGCAACAAACATCAATATCAAATAATAAAGAAAATGGTGGATGTCAAAGTTAATTAATTAGAGATTTGAGTTTTGAATAATTGAATATCAGTAGATGGTGTTCCTGGGTGCTTGATTTTATGTAAATTTGCTAATAAAATAATAATTATTATTTGTTTCAGTCAATGATAAATTTTTTAAATGATCCCCTGGGTGAGATGCCCTGGGAAGAGGAAGATGGAACAGAGGATGTACGGCATGTCAACACTAACATGGTTGGTAAATCAAGGCTGTGCTCTTAGGAAAATTAAAGAGAACCCATGTCGTTGCTCTAAACCAGTAGAATTTTATGATTTGTCTGAAAAAACTAACATTTTCTAGTTGGCTGAGAGCGAGAGTTGAGTGTCTGGGGCCACTGGGTTCTGCTAAAGCACAGCCCTGTAAATGTGGCCCATTGATTGATGTCTTAGGCTTAAGGCTAGTTACTTTTTATACCGTAAATCCTCTATTAATCCCCCCGGGGTCTTAATAGAGATGGGGGGCTTAATTAATTTAGGAAAGGTGATGGTATTCGATCAGTTCTCCAAAAATAACTAGAATACAACGCGGAGAAGCTCAAGGACAAGAAGGTTGGAGGTCATGCAGCCAAGGATCAGGATCAAAATTAATCTGAACTTCCAGTTGGTAAATAAACCATCCCGGATCAGTCTGCATGATGTTTAACAGTTGTGATTGATTAATACAGTCTTATTTATTTGTGAAGAATAATAAGGGGAGAGGAGGGGAGGGGGGGCGGGCCTACTAATTCTCTTCCCCTGAAAAGGGGGGTGCTTATTAGATGGGGTTGCGGGGGGGGGGGGGCTTAATAGAGGATTTACAGTAGTAATGTACTTTCCCTTAATTTGGAGAGAACTCCCCAGCTTTAAGAAGGCCATCACCCATTATAAAAATATTTGCTTATCTACAGGAAATAAATTTTCTTTCAACTGGTATTATGGGGTCTATTTAAGACAGACATCTTCCAAATCCTATTTTAATACTATAGCTAGTTTTAAGTGGCCTCTGCAAAAAAGTGGATTTTTTCTACCTCCTTTTGACTGGAGCTGAAGTATCCTCAACAATGATGAAAGTGATCTAAGATATATTTTGGGGAGCCTCTTGGCCAGTACCT